CCATCACTACCACACCTCTCCCACTGCCACCAGCTAGAAATTCATGACTGTAAGGCCCCCCACTCACATTTTGTAAAAATGGAAAATATGGCAAGAAGTACAAAATGAATTTGTAAGAATTAAGGAAGTTTTGTGGCAGTAAATAATCCTAAAGAAAGAACCAGACTTTTATTATTAAAATTTTGCTTTCAAGGAAGACTAATGTCACATATTGCTTTGCTTTTAAAAGATCTCTTTGAAATCAATCACTGAACCATAGCATCTCAGTACAAAATCTACCAAGGGCAGATGATGTCTGCTGGGCAGGCCTCCGCTGGGGTCAGCTTTCCTGTGCCCGAGTGGATGAAATCTGGAGAGAGGAGAACAGATGCTGTCTGCACTAAAAGCACTTTGACAGCCTTTGTCTACTAGGTGCTACAAACTGACCTGCTCATATTTTCAAAAACTCATCAACCTCTCTGTCCACAACGCATAGGCCTCAGCCCAAAGTGCTGCTTCATGCTCCATTCAGGAAAGCAATCCTGAGAGCAAGTGATGGGACAGTGTCAGCCACGTGGTGTGGACGGTACTCTTCCCCACCTCATGCTGCGCTCTGTCCATGTCGGAAGAGCCTCCACAAGAGCCCACTTTGTCTCAGAGTGGCCAGGCTAGAGGCAGGATAGAGGGGTTCACAGCTGAGGCCCCGCAGCACCAATCTTCCTGGGAAAGAGAGTGTGTTCTTTCCTAGTGAATGTCCTATTCAACGATGCCCAGTCATAGCCAGCTGAGCAGGTGAGGGCCTGGAGCACCTCGTGGTGCAAACCACGAATGAGATCAGCCACTGACCAAATACTGCCAGTCCACATCACCTTGAAAGAAAGGACTGGTGATCCGTGTCCCAAAATTCAGTTATAGAAAATCCTGAGGCTCAGTTCTCCTCAGGCCACAAGGAGCCACTATGATGGAATGACCCAACAGTGACTCGCTGGCCAGTGTGCCTAGGTGGTCTGATGCAGGGACATGCAGAGTTTGACTGGACGCTCACTGTCCACAGTCTAGGGCTTCAGAAACTCAGTTGATGGCCATGAAGACGGCGACAGCTCTGCTTGATGCAATAGGATGCTGAGGTCACATGGACATGGTCAAGGTGGGGAGGCAAAGGCGAGGAGGGGCCTTCCCATCAGCAAGCCCACCTGCCTCTGCTGAGGTGACCTGTCCCCAGAATCTAGCAGGCATGACTGTTCCTTCTCTGGTCCTTACTGCCTAACTCAAGCTCTCTGGTCAGTTTCCTTGTCTGCTTGACAGACTCATGAGCTCACCACAGTAATGACTCAGGCACTGGGTATGCACCAGTGTTGGGGCACACAGCGGGGGGGGTGTCCCTTCTGAACTCTGCTGCAGAGACCTAGGGTGGGCGTCCTTGTGGTCAGGTGAAGGCCTCTCAAGGCTGTCTGCCTTGATGCATCACAGAAACTGCTGATGTTACTTCTCCTCCTAGGCAGCTCCTTAACTGGCTCTGAGGCACCCAAGGAAGCTGGGAGGAGGGCCCTGGACACAGCACCCTGGGACCCTCTCTCAAAGCAGTAAGCCGGCTGGGCTCTGGGAGGTTCTGAGTGGCCAGAAACTGTAGTGCCCAGCCAGCCTCTGTAGAAGCCAGGCTGGATGAGGACCCTCTGCTCAGCCTCGGAACTGCCAACTACAGACACACGTTACAGATCATTGGGGTTTATGCCGTCACCCGAGTGCTGGAGCAGGAGCATTGCAGGAGCAACCCCCAGATGGCTGTCGTGCACAGGGGGACAGCTCACCACCTCTGGGGAGAAAGGTTACAGTCATAGGTTGGAGGAAATGCACATTCAGGGTGCTGTGTGCATGGCACCTCCCCCAGGCTCTTGCAGGCAGCACTGAGCTCCTGGTGACAGGGTCCTGCTCCTCAGACTGCCTTCCCATGAACTACCCCACGCTTGGGCTGAGCCAGATGAGGGGCAGAAAGGGCGATGCCATTGACCTCTGTACTACCACCCAATCATGAGAAGCACCGTGTTCTCAGTTGATGGCTCTGTCAGGAATAGGCTCCTGAGAAATGAGTTCAAGGAAGCGCTGTCCTTCAAACATGAAAAAAGATCCCAGCTTCACGAACGATGCCATCGTTGTCCTGGCAGTGGGATCTTCGGCCTGGAAAGGCATTCTTGAGGACCAGGGATGGGAGGTGTGAGCAGGGCCTCATGGAGACCCCCACCCCCAGCGTTATGGGACTCTCGCAGAGTCTGTGGGCACCTAACCCGGTATGAAAGTGCTGGCACGAATCTCCTGGGCACTGTCCTCCCACGGTCTCTTACGTGGTCCAGGAAGTCAGCTGGACTGGGCCCTGGGAACAATGCTCCGAGGAGGGGCTCAGGGAAGGGGTCTGAGGGAGGTACACCTGCTGGGCCATCACACACCATGAGTAACTGGGACTATGAGAAGCCTGGGACACAGGAAATGTGTCTCATCCTTGTGCATGAACATCAGCCGATGGGCTTAGAAGTTTCCAGAAGCATGTCCTTAACTTCCTGAGGTACAGGGGTCTTCCTGGAGGTGTGCATCTAGGTACTAGGACTCAAGCCTGAATGTCAGGGTGCCCGCCCATGACTTCCCTGGGGTGTGGTTTGCTCCCCGGAATCAAAAGGATTAAAAAATAAAGTTCTAGAACAGGGTATCGTAACACATGGAGACAATGTCAAGGATGTGATTTCTCTGATACTGAGAAGAGAGTCTTCAGAAAAGTGCTTCATATTTGACAGGCTGAACCCGAGCTTGGCTCAGTTCTCAGATCCACAAAGAAACATCTTTAAATTACAATCAGTTTCCCTAAAGATAGTGTGCACCTAGGGCATTGGGATCCCATGCCTGTAGACCCAGGGCCAGGAGGGCACATGTTCATAGCCTGCTGCCTGACTGGTGCCAGTGCCAGCTTCACCTGCAGACATACACAGCAGAGCCCCATGTGCAGCCCAGGGTCTCCCCTGAAAACTGTGGGAATAATATTTCCAAGCAGTCTTCTGACGGAACGTGAGGGGAATGCAGACTCGAAAGCAGAACCCTTCAGACAACAGCGCTCAGGAGCCCTAGGCTCTGGAAAACGCCAACACCCCAACCCCAAGGGGAGCTTGCTCCTTCTCAGGGGCTCATGGGAAATCGAGTCATCACTCATTCCTCTCTCACAGCTTCCAGGGGCCAGACACTATCAGTGTGCTGGATCACACACAGACTCACATGCATACACACACAGAACCAGACAGGCACACACAGATAATATATGCACATACACTGTTAGGGAAGTTCATGCACAGATAAATAACTGTGGACACACTTATACACACAGGTGTGCACACACACGCAGGCACAGTCACACACACACACTACTCAGAAGCCATAGCAGTGTTGACAGCAAGAATGAGGTTTCCCCTGGTTTCCACGCCCAAAGCAACCGTGGATCAGGCAGCCAGCCAGCTGCTGAGAAGTGACCCAAAGTGACCAAGTTAAACAGAATCAGTGCACACCAGGCAGTCACGCTCTTGTGGAGTCAGCTAGGGTTCATAGCCCAAACCTGCTGGATCAGTTATTAGACCAGTGGGATGAACCCGAGGAGTCCTGCTTTGGTTTTTCTCAAGGGTTTTAGAATCTTTCAGAAAAGCCAGAAAGGCCCTCTGTCTTGGACTGCTTCTCCAGCACCTGCACACCTAAATGCACACACAGCTCATCACTGCTAATGTACAATTCCCAACACCTGCAAAACTGACAAGCGGGTCTCACTCACGTGCCAGAGAACAGGGAATGCGGGTGGAGCCCTGTACCCTGCACCCCACACCACAGCATGCTCTCAGGCCAGGCCTTGTTTCAGGACCACACATTGCATCTACGGGGGGACACCCTGCTGACCATGACGCACGGAGGTCACCTGACATGAATGCAAAGCCTCGAGAGGCACCCAGGCTCTGTGACCACCAGACACTTTTGGTACCTTCACAGTCTAGCCTGGTTTTGGGAGCCCAGTCTTGCTCCGGGGAGGAGGGACAGCAAGCCTCCACCTGGCATCTGTGTTACAAGCTGGTACTTTGTTCAAAATTCCAGCAATCCTGTAAGAGGCACCCAAGCCTGCCACTGTGGTTAGGAGCCCTGTCTCTGCTGCGTGTTATCAGCCATCCGCTGTTCCCGCATTCCACCTCCAGGCACAGAGCTGCAACGACAGTGTTTCCAAATCACCTGCAGCTGAGAATCAAGCAGACACTCCACTCGCCTCACTGACGCTTCTTTCCAGCCACGGAGGCTGTAGCCCTAAGTCTTCCACTGAGGACCAGGCCCCCTGCCCAGTCTCAACCTCCCACTGTAGGGGGTGGGTGTCCCCAGGAAGTGGTTACACCCTATCCTCCCTCCCAACACACTGACCCCTGACCAGCACATGTGCCGCCCAGGGCTTCCTCCACTCAGCTGTCCGTCCCCATGTGCCTTAAGCAGACCCTCAGGACCCAGTGGCAAGGGAGCTGGATCTGAAGCTGGATCAGCAATGCCTCTGCTGCTGGCCCAGGAGGATGGTGGGCATCTCCTGGGCAGTCCAGCAGCAGCTCTGGAGTCACGTGCCCCCACGCCCTAGTCAGGTGCCACTGTTTCTGAACAGCTAAAACTCCACTGGGTAGCTGGTACAGTGAACAGCAGAGTGGTGAGCGGAGGGCCTTCCACTGCTATGACAGCCACTGAGAGATCAGCAGAGGGCACCCAGACCAGCCCCAAAGGCCTTAGGCTGCCTGGCCCTTGCCCAGCATCTCTGCCCTCTCTCACAGAGCCAGGTCCTGGGGGCAGCCACGGGGGCAGGGGGCCAGCCAGTCTCCTGTGGTCTGAGGGCTAGCCAGGTGACCAGGCAGCCTTGCTCCCAGGCAGATCTGGGAAGGGCGAAAGTGCTGCTACCACAGTGGGTCCTGACCGCTGTCTCCCTGCACCCCATCCAAGGTCTCAGGACCAGCCTTTCTCCACTTGGGACTTACGTGAGAGGGAGTGTGTGCCTTTGGGCAGGTACTCGAAAAGCAGGGAGCTGTCATCTCCCAGCACGTCCGCCTTGAGGGACAGCAGGCTATTTTTGCTCATGAGCGCGGCCCGCAGGTTGGCCACGGCTGCAGCCTGATGCAGTGCGTCATCCTTCTCCGGGGTCAGCGGGGCTCCCAGGTAGCTGGCCTCTGTGCCAAGCAGGCCCTCGTCGGTCTGGGCAAACAGCTCGGACCTCTCTGTGCGGCTGTCGGAACTACCAGCTTCGGTCAGGGTCAGGTCAGTATCTAGGGGACAAAGGACATGCAGGTCACCTCAAGACACTTAGGGAACATGGTGATTTGGGAGGAGCCAGGGCAGTGGGTGCCCTGGCCACAAGGAGTTTGGGAGAAAATTGGCCCAGTTTGGCCAATTCAGCTTCGGTCCACCTGCTGGGGCAGCTCACACGCTAAACATTAAGACATCTGATATTCAGGAGACTACTCTGGACTCAGTACCCCAGGCCCCATGTCCACTAGCCTCCATGGTAGTGGCCAAGTCAGAACCTGATTCAGGGTGGGGCCATCGAAGCTGACTGAGGAGATGGTGCAGTGCTTGCGTCTCCCACCTCCTGGGGGATGGAGAGGCTTTGTGGTCATGCAGCCATGACACTGTCAGTGGACATCAGACATGGCACAAAGCTAGAAGGACATGGAGCAGGGGCAAAGCTCACACACACACACACACACACACACACACACACACACACACACACTCACGCAGTGTGCACAGTCTCTGAAAGGAAGTCAAGCAGTGTATTACAAAACCAAACGCCTCTACCCCAGGACCCAGCAAGCCCACACCCAGGAGTTCAGTCAGAAGAAATGGAAACACATCCAGAGGAGGGACTGGCAGATAGCGCTCAGCTCCAAACCTGCAAGAAGTCCGGACATCCATCTACAAGACTGGCAGCCTCGCCCAGTTGACGTGGCCCCACAATAAAAAGGTACATGCTACAGAGAGCCGCAGTAATGCGGGGTGGCTTCTGAGGCTGGGGTGGCCTCAGACTCGCTGCAGTGTAGAAGGTCTTGACAGGATGAGCTCTGGTGCCTGAAGGAGGCAGGTCCAGGTCTGTACAACTGATCCCTGATGGAAAACACCAGAATAGTGGTCATCTCTGGGGATCTGGAGACAGGGTCTGGCTGGCAATGGCCAAGAGGAACCTGCCGGGTTCTAGATGTTGGCAGGGGTTTGAGTTGCACAGGTGCATTTCTGTTGTTCAGTGTTGAGCAGACTCTGACTCATCGTGACCCTATGAACAACCCTGAACCCTGCCCTTTCCCGGCCCATCCTCACATCAGCGACAGTCACTGTCATTCCATTTCTTTGAGGGTCCTTTGCTGACCTTCCCATGGACTGGCCCCTCCTGACAAGGGGCCCAAGCATGTGAGACAAAGTTTCACCATCCTTGTCTCTAAGGCACACGCTGGGAGTACTTCCTCCAAGACACACCTGCTTGCTCTTTGACAGTCTGTGCGACATTCAACTCTCTTCTCCAACATCATAATTAAAAAAGCACTGTTTTTAATTTGGTCTTCGTTTTTCATTGTCTAACTTTCAGACACATAGGAAGTAACTGAAAATATTCTGGCTTGGATCAGGCACACGTTAGTCCTTAAAGCTAAGTGCCTGCATTTCAGCAGTTTGCAGATGCCCTTTATAACATATTATCAATGAAACGTCCTTTGCTTTCTTAACTGTTGCTATAAAAAATGTTGCTTGAGGCACATACATTTATGAAAAACTCACTCCAGGGTGGGAAAGCAGGTTCCTTCATGGGTCCTTCTGCTTAGGTCCCTGGTCCTGCCAAACCTGAGTCCGCACTGGCCAGCTCTCCATCCGAGGGCCAGCCCAGGAGGACCCAGCACCTGATCGCCTTGAGCCCGAGGGCCAGCCACAAGTCTGAGGGAGCTGTGAAAGCTGGTGTTAGTTCCCTTTGTCTGGTGTGAAAAAGCTGGGCCTGTAAGTGCCGTGAAGGGACCAGTCAACAAGCTGCGCAAACGGGGTGTCTGTGGCCCACTGAGAAGGGCTCAAGTAGAGGGCTGGGACTTGAAATTCTGAGGGGATGTGCTAGTCACGTCCAATCCCACAGCGGTTCAGCAGACAGAAGGGACAAAGAAGAGGATGAGAACGATGTGGGTGTGAGGAACCACCTCAGAGCTGTGGCAGGGCCGTGGACTGCAGCATTAAAGATTCTGATGGCCCGAGTGATGACAGGAGGAAGGGCCAAAGTCAGGGAGGCCTGACCACAGGGGCCGAGGACAGCTGGGTGAGCTGTGGGCACCGAGGAAGAGGACCTCATCCATCTGCTCCCTTGGCTCATGCCACTTTGTTTGCAAATTCTTAGCTCTTAGGACAGGCTGTGTGGCCTCTGCAGCAGAAGGTCCCAGAAGTGGGATGACTGGGGGGTGTGGGAGCGTGAGTGGCCTCCGCTTGATGGGAACCAGTCTTGGGCAGGTTGTACTCAGCACCCCCTCACGGTGGGTTCTCAAGCCACCGTTGCTGCCAGTTTACGGATACATGAAAAAGCAGCTCACAGCACAGTGTGAAAGACCCACCTGAAGGTTCCGGGTAATGATCTGCTGAGTGTTTTAGGGCAAAATATGCTGTTATTGGAATAATTACATGGGTTTAGGTTAATGAGAATGTTAACACCAAAGGGGTCTTGGGTGGGTACGCGTTGATTTTTCGTTTTTTTCTCTACATGAGCATTTTGTCCACACGGTACCCTGACAATAGGGAGTTTACTGCAGATCTGAGATGTTTTTCAGGAGAACCATATAGCACTGGGAACGGCCCCCAGCCTGTCCATGTTGCAATCCTAGGACCAGATTCCAAATGGGACCCTGAGTAGGGGCCTAAGAAGGAGAAGGTGACAAAGCATCCGAGCCAGGGAGGAGGACCAGGACGTATGGGGTCGAGGCACCAGCCACAGTCGCTCAGCCCAGCAGGTTCTCCATGGAAGGCAAGAACTGCAGGCCTCCCCAGCGCCGCACTGCACCCACTGCACGCCAGCAGTGTGCCACTGTTAGTCTTACAGTGGATCCCCGCTCTCACCAAAGAGGAGATGGAGTGGAAGCTACGTGTGGAAAGAAGAATGTGTCCAGCACTTGTTTGAAATCTCACTCCTAAAAGCTCAAAGGCCCAGAGTCACCACCTGTGGCAATAAGCACAGAGGGCAGAGAGGGTCGCTGGCTGCAAGCTGCAGGTTCTGGGTCTCCTCGGCTAGCCAGGCCCAGGAGGAACCAGTACCTGATCCCCATCTTCCTTCAGAAGAGGTCATTTCACCTGTAAGAGGACATGAACATGCTCTCCTCTCTAAGAAGAGCCAGGTCTTGCAGGACGACAACCCCTACAGAGACTGGGGTCCACATGTCACACCCAGGCTTCTGACCAGGGGAGTGAAGACAGGCTGCATCCCCACCAGGTGGGCAGGGACCGTCCCACGCAGCCCACAGCTTTGCTTCTGCTCTTAGCAACGCAGACTCCTTCCACAGTTGCCTGGGAAACCCAAAGGATTTGCGACTTGAACAAAGTGCTTAAATCACTTGTTTGCTTCTAAAAACACCTTCTGCTCGAGAGTGCATCGCAGCAGCAAGTCTGCGACTCATCGTACGTGAGTCACCCTCCTGAAGGACCCAAGCACAGTCAGCTAGGCCTCTGTGTGACACAGGGATGTGACAGCACACAGGCAGTGGTGAGAAAGGGCCACTATAGGGTGACAGGCCCTCAGCCCTATGACGGTGGAACACTTCCTACCCAGGACCTCATCTTGAGTCTCTCAGTCGAGTTTCTGCTACTCTCATGGTTTATCGAAGGTTCACTTACCTTACCTAGAACTTGTGCACCTCTTCAGAGAGACCTCCCCTCACAGACACCTCTGCACCTCCCCTCAGACACACCTGTGCACCTCCCCTCACAGACACACCTGTGCACCTCCCCACAGACAGCTGTGCACCTCCCCTCACAGACACACCTGTGTAAGGACAGGTATCAGTCCTCTCATTTGTCTCCTAGACAGACAGTGGAAGGAAGGGATCTAAATGTAAATTTATAAATCTAAGTTGCCAAACTCAGTCCTTGTGTGAAATGCTCCCCATCCCCACCTCCCTCTGTACCACCTGTCTCCCTCCCCTTACCCTTACACATTCACCCCAACCTTGATCCCTGGACGCTCAGATCCCTTACTAACCCTGTTCTCTCCCCATCCCTGCCTCTCACCCACAAGGCCCTTCACTCCATTGTCCCCTCACGTCTCACTGCCCGCCCCTAGCCTACAGAAGTCCTAATGGGCACCACCACTCCCTCTCAAGACCCTGGTTTCATGGGGGCCCTACCTGACGGGGCATGCGATACCCACTCTACTTCTAGGAATGACCAGAAGTTGTCCCCTAGTGATCATGTCACCTCTCTCGGCAAGGGGGGGGGTGGCCAGGAGGCCCTGGGCATGAACTGGCCACATGCTGTCTACACACAAAGCCAGGGCCCAGCAGGCATCTGGCCAGGAGCTTCTGCCCACCGCGGCCTGGCATCTACACGCAAAGGAGGCTTACTTGCATCACGGCTGCTGAATGGCCACGCTGAGGCGGGCAAGCAGGACGGGACTGGCGAGCTGTCCTGGCTGTCAGCCTCCACCTGCGGCGTGATGTGACGTACGGTCTCCTTGTTCTTGCGGTTTTTCCTGCGGCCACTGGGCTGCCAGCCATCCCCACTGCCCTGCTCTGCGAAGGTGCCCTGTAGTGCTGCATCCTTGCTCAGGGCCAGCTCGCCCCCTTCATAATGAGGTGGGGACACCTGCTCCTCCTTGACCCGCAGAGGTGTGTAGGCCCCATCCCTTGGCCACAACGGTGGTGCGGACACATCCTCCTGGGTGTCGGCCCTGGGCTCCGGGTCTTCCTTCCCGTAACTGCTCCCACCTTCATGACAGCTGGCGATGGCTGAGTCCCCAGAGGAATTGGCTGGGCTGGTGCGCCGGGCCAACCATGGAGAGATGCTCCGGCCAGCCATGACTGCAGAGATGAACGCGTCGGCCCCGCCAGTGGGGGCAGCGCCCATGTCAAAGTCGGCCAGCTCATCTGACGCGTCAGCCTTGATACTGATGTCCAGCGCTGCCTTGATGAAGTCGTGGCACGCCTGCACAATGTCGGTCATCTGCAAGAAGCTGGCGGCGGACATGACCTCAATGACATTCCTGCTGGTCAGTGCCAGGTGTGCCGAGTACATGAAGTCGATAATGGCCTTGAAGCCCTGGGCTGTGACGATGTCCAGGTGGGTGACTGTGGCCTGCTCGGACGTCTTCTGCACCTGGCAGTAGAGCGTCTTGAAGTAGCGGCTGCTTCCCAGCAGCACGTTCTTGTGGGCCTTGAAGACCTTGCCCTCAACCACGACACAGACGTCACACAGAACCCCGTGGTGTCGCTGCTCATCTAGCTCCCTCAGGAGGTGCCGGTAATGGGACGCAATCTCCATCTCTTCCTGCCAGTCACTCATCGGGATGCCACGCCGACAGGCTCTGTGGGGCGAGAGCACACAGTTACCTGCCAGCCAGAGCTGTACTTGACAGATGCTAAGGTGTTCCTGCGGGCACCAGCACGTGAGGTGTCCACAGCCAGGATCCGGCTGGGTGCCAGGAACCATGATGGGGGCCAGAAGGGGTGGCCAGAGAGCACACGGAGAAGTCCTGAGCACGCTGCGGGACACTGCCCACAACATCCCCACTGGCATGTCTGAACCAGCAAAGGCCAGCGCCCAGCTGAGAGGCCTTACAGGAATCAGAAAGTCACCTGTCCACAGAAAACTCAAAAACTCCTGCCCAAACTGCAAACCGAGTTAAAACAACCCAAGTGGGTGCATTCATCCAGTAAGAGACAGTCACATCCCACATGGGCCCCACAGCAGACCTCCCTGAACCAACCCCCCAGCCACCAGCTCAGCTCCCAGGAAAAGTCTCACATCCACAAAGCATCTAAGATGCAATGAAAACTCATTAAGAGCCATGATTGGACACAGTCTTACAGAATCTAGAACATTCCGGTTCCCTTCTCCCCCTCTCTCCTACCATCCTCATCACAGGAACCCTTTGCTCCTGTGCCTCACTGCTGCCCCCAATTGGTCATGAAAATCCCTGCACCCCACCTCCTACCCCTGGATGCTCTGGATGGGGGCCCCTGCCCTACTAAACTGTCCATGTCCCCACCCGATAGTTCAGTTGCACAGAGATGCCAAATTCAAGAGGAAGGACTGTGGTCAGGTGCAGGGGGCTTGTGCTGCCCACAGAGAGCCTGAGCTGCTACACATGACCACCTTGAGGGGAGGTGCAGGAGGGCGAGGGGAACATAGCCTCTCACTTCCTGTTTTTTCTTGCCCAGTTTTGCTATGACAAGATGTAGCCCTTCATCAACAGACACGGTTTCAAGCAAATATTCCCTGATAAAGGCTTCCCAATACCCCGTGAGGAAGTGGTGACCCAGTACAGCCTGAAGGCTCAGCCCACGCCCATCAGCCCACATCCCTCTGCTCTGGCCACTGTCTGTCACAGAAGAAATTTTCCAGCCTCCCCTGCAGCTGATGCACCATGTGCTCACTGGACATGTCTTTCCTGCTGTGACTGTAGCAATGACAGAGGGTGTAGCCCTGACACAGGACGTGGCCATGGCACAGACGTGGCTCTGATGAAGGATGCAGTCCTCGTGAGGATGGGGTGGCGAGACACACAACCACCCGTGGGCCCAAGGCTGATCCTGGCGTCCCAGACTCACAGCACTAAGCATGGTCAAGGCCAAGGACAAAGCCAGGCACTAGCCTAGTGCTTTCAGCTTGAGGGAAAAGCGAGGACATGCCCCTTGCTCCAATCCAGGGGTGCAGGTGTCCATGCCTATAACAACACTCGCAAACCCAAGGGAGGGAAAGAAGCCTTTTGACACAGGCACTGGAGGGGCTGAGCCCATGGCCCTCATGACTGGAACCCCCGGTAGGGGACCCTCCACAGGCAGGGCTGGAGGGGCTGAACTCATAACCCCCACGATCAGAGGCCCTGGCAAGGGATTTCATAGAGGTGTTGGAGGGGCAGTGAGCACAGCCCCCATAACCAGAACCCCCAACAAGGGACCCCACACAGGTGCTGGAGAGGCTGTGCCCATGGCCCCTGTGACCAGAGCCCCTGGCAGGGGTCCCCAGGTGTAGCCCTCTGCTGGACTTTGCAGTCAGTGGGTCAGAACAATCGACATAGAGGCAGCTTCTCTCCCAGGACACTGTGGGGCCCAGAAGATTAGAAATTGAGAGAAATGTCAATATTTAAAGGCAAACATCAATTTACTACCCAACTCTATGTATAGGCAATGAGTTAACGGGACAGGTCTGAGGCTTACTGACAAGCAAAGCAGACCCTTTAACAACCACAGGACCATGAGAAGGGGTAGCAGCAACACTGACAGCCACACTGTGACCTCACAGAGCTTGAGTTTCAAAATAGTTGAAATTAAAATCCAAGGATCTAATATAAAGTCTAACCAACCAGAATCACTTAAAAATCAGCTTTGTTTTCACAGACACTTTGCAGAAAACCAATTCTCTGCCAGGAAGAAGTGAACAGTTTAGCACTTGAAGAGAAGAGACTGGACCAGAAGGTTCTTGCTCAGGTGTGGAAGTGCACACCTGTGGCTCTGAGCATAGGACATTTCGGGGGGAAGCCATGAGCTCCGTGGCCTGTCATCTAGAAAGTGAGTCACCACGTCACAGCAAAGGGCCAGAGGGGACCTGTCTCCAGCTACCTCCTGACAGATAAGCCTAAAAATGACAGTGTCATGGCAGCGTCACAGAGCCTTGTGATAGGCAGGAGATGGACGGGAGAAGCTTCTCTCTGAAAGACTGTCTCGGCCCTAGACAGGCAGACAGTATGGTGAGCACACACCTGTTCACAGGACCTCTGGGAAGGTATTTCCTTCACTTCCAAGTTACCTACCACACAGGCTCACAGGCATTGGTGCACATTCAGGCCATGTGTGGACACCTGCAGCAAACACGAGGTCTGTCCACAGTAGACCTCATCTGTGAGGTAGTGTCGATGACACTGTCCCCTCACAGCTGAGACGAAGATACACAAGCCCCCTGGACTGACTGCCCCTCACTCAACATTCTCTAATGCTTATTTCATCTCAAGTTCACTAATATGATAGGGTGATCTCGCGGCCCACTTGTGAAGAGTTGTTCTGTCATTCCCAGGCACAAGGTTCAAATTCACCAGTTGCTCCAGATGAAAAAAAAAAAATGGTCTGTCTCCTCCTGTGCAATCTATAGCCTCTGAGACTATTCTGGAGGGTCAGCCGTGTGATGGTTCCAAGCTGACGGTACCCAACCACCACCTTATGACGGCTGGTGGCTCAGTGCTAAAGCACTCCGCCGCTAACCACAAGACCAGCTCGCACTCACCAGCTGCTCTCATAAAGCCGGCAGCTTGAGGCATCGTCTGAGCATTTATTTCTGCTCTGTCACTCGGGATTGCTAAAAGTCAGAATCAGCAACAGCAGAGTCAATCCACACCACCTCCGTCGCAAACAGGACCGCCAGATCGTGCAGTGCAGGGAAGCCATGAGAAACAGGGCCGGGGTGGGGTCGGACCTCACCCACCTTGGGATGGTCAGCAGGTGTCGGCCTGGTCTGGCAGTGAGCCAAGTGGCCACTGACACATCAGCACAGCAGTCCAGGGACCAGCCACAGAGCATCGCTCATCACTCACTGGCATTGTGCCTTTGATGTTTCTGCCAAACCAGGCTCTCTAGGAAGCAGCAGGCACGTTTCAAGAGCATTCTTCTGATGCCAGACGTCAAAGGTACAGGTGTAAGGCTGCTCCTGAAACTACAGCAGAGCTACAAGACTGCGGACGCCACCAACGCTTCCACCCAACTCTGCACGTGGCGTCAGCTCTCCTCGAAGTGACATGTCATCAGCATGTCCACAGCGTCTGGGAGCCATGACAGCAGAACAGGCTTCCCAGGGGATGCAGCCACCACTGTGTGCTCAGAGGACTCAACCTGGAGCAGGTCAGGTCTGCCCTGTTGCCCCCGTCAACACACTAGGCTACTGGTGTCAATAAAAACATACAGCGACCCTTATCATGTGGGCCTGCTGTCCTGTCATGTCTGCGTCAGCAACGTGGTGGACACCTGCCATGGCCTCGGGACAGCCCCTGCTGGGTGAGTGGTCAGACTCTGGTCCAGTCCCCTCCCTGCACGTTCAATATGTGGAAAGTCACCAGCTCCTGAAACAGGAACGTGGCACTCAACCATCAACTCCAGCCATCTGAGTGCGCCCACATCTCACCTCCCTTTCATCTTGGATGCATTTCTGCATTTTGGTTTTGCTTAATTTATACTTGTCAATTTTTTTCACGTCTTTAATCATTCATTTAAACATTCACTCTAAAATGGAAGGAAGCAAGAGTCTACCAGCTCAAGAACTAGACTGTCCTCGTTCTGGCTACCAGTGTCCATTTCAGAGAAATACTGAAAACAAGCTGACATTTTGAACAGACACATCACAGAGAGGCTACAGGAACGCCAAGCACCAGATCACCAGGGAGACGCCAAGTAAAAGCACGATGGACTTCATGTCACGCCACCTGGTGGCTCAAAGGAGAAAGGACAACAATAACAAGTGGAGGCCACCGGCCACCGCAGCCTCACTCACATGGGTGGGGACAAAGACTCTGGAAGAAGGTTCTGTGGCATCAAGAAAGCCAGGCACACCTACCCACGGAGTCCGGAGGCCAGCGGAGCAGTTCTATTCTGTGCTACAGGGTCACCATGGTGTCATCACAGTGACTGTGGGTTTGGGTGTGCTTCCAGCCACTTCACCGCTAGGAAAAGCAAAGAGAAATTAAAATGAAGGTCCCCGGAAGACCTGTATCTTCACTGCAGCCTGTGCAAACTCAGGCGCGCACACACATGTCCAATCTGCAGGTGGGTGGACACTCGTTCAGCCGCGGACTTGGTGATGGACAGGATCCTCGCAGCTCTGTCAGGGTCAGCGCCATCAGACGGGGCGAGTCTGGGCTCTGTGAAGAACAAGAGGCGAGGCCCTTCCTGCGCAGTCTTAGAAAGGGCAGATGAGTGTCAGCATCAGCACAGATGGTTTACACCATCAGCAGTCGCCCAGGGTGGAGGCCGGAGCACGGCACGGGCACACACTCCGGGTGAGCGCTGTGCTTGGGCCCTGACTGAAGGGGGCTATGCGGTAGATATGCCCACCTGACTATGGTAGCTCAGGGGGTGTGGTCGCCCAGTTACGATAGCCCTCAGCTCCCACTAATGACCATACCAAGTACCGCAGAGCACAGCACCGCCTGGCTTGCACCGGGCTGGAGGTGACCCACTGGCTAATCGCAGACTGTCGGGCCTCTCTCCCTAGTCCATCTTCATCTGTCTGCTTCAGAGCAACAGACAAGCCTCCACTGTTGTGGGTGGTGGCTCTGCAGCCCTGAGCCAGGAGGCTGT